TCGGTCCTCCGGACTCAACGAGGTGTTCACAAAATGGTCAGCGACGAGAAGTGGTGCAAGACCAAGTCGCAGTTGACGGATCTGCGGAACATGCTCAAAGCATCACCCAAGTCCATCGACATGAAGGAACTTATGAGAATTCGGGGGTTCCTAAATTACGTGTCGCAGACGTACACCACCTTGGTGCCGTATCTGACTGGTCTCCATCTCTCCATAGACGGCTGGAGACCAAATCGTGACGCAAGAGGCTGGCGCAGAATGGACTCGAAGCTCATGCCTCACGAGGGGGAATATCCAGACGCTCCGAAGACGGTAGAAGCAGCGCCAAGGCTTCACAACGATGTCGTCGCTCTCACTGCTCTTTGCAGCGACGATACTCCTCCTCTTAGGCAGGCAAGGCCTTCCAAGACCGATACGGTCTTTTATGGATTCGGGGATGCTTCTGGTGCAGGATTTGGCGCCACTCTAAACAAGAAAGGGTCAACGGACATTGACTTTGAGTTCGGTCAGTGGTTCAAATCAGCCACGGAAGAGGAATCATCCAACTGGAGGGAACTGAGCAACCTTGTTGTCTTCTTGGAAGGCAGAGCCAAGGAAGGAGTGCTTGACTTTTCGGAGATCTTTTTGTTCACGGACAACTCCACCGCCGAGGCTGCCTTCTGGAAAGGAACGTCCAAGAGCAAGAAGCTGATGAAGTTGGTACTCAGGCTTCGCCTACTTGAGTTACGCCATGGAATATTCCTTCGAATCATACACGTGAGCGGGACCCGCATGATTGCTCAAGGTACCGACGGCTTGTCAAGAGGAGACTATCACACGGGAGTTATGAGAGGGAAGCCTATGCTTTCTTATGTTCCTCTACACCTCACGTGCGTGGACAGGTCCCCACCGCTCAAGCTGTGGATGGATGACATCTTCCAAGATGCAAAACCAAGGTTTCTGACTCCAGATGATTGGTTCAGGCCAATGAAACATGATGGTTTGAATGTCTGGTTACCTGCTCCTGCTGCCGCAGAAGTAGTTGCCGAAAGGCTCAGAATGACCAGGCACATTCGACCAAACTCCTTGCACGTGGTCATCGTGCCAAGGTTGATGACAGGGTGGTGGAGAAAGCAGATGGGCAAAGCAAGCGACAAATACTTCAAACTTACAAGCCCGCAATGGTGGTCATTGGAGGACCAGTTTGAACCCCTCCTAATGTTTGTCTGCTTGCCATATAGAACTGATGCCCCCCATTTCCAGCTCCGTGAAGGTGTGGTTGAAGGATTGCAAGGGTGCTTGCATGAACCCGAAGTGCTCGAAGACGATTACTCAGTTCGCAGGACTGTTCTGCGCGAACTATTCGGCAAAGCGTGGGCCATTTCCACCGTGTTATAATGCTTGGTGCGGCCCCTGCTACCGTGACACAGGGGACGTCAAGTTTCCTATTCGATACGTCGTGGACGACGACGGCAAAGAATTGGTCAAGGAGAAAGATGGGGACCGCTTCCTTGTTGGCAGACACGGAGACAACCTCATGACGCCCACTCAGTGTGAGCTCTGCCACTTCAGAAACATCATGAGAAGGGATCCGGAGTTGTCTGACGAAGACCTCCTTCTCCTGAATTATATTCGACGAGCCAACTTGGACGCTTTGTGGTCTCGTGAATCTTCCACAGTTGCCGGCAATCTGGGACTCATCAAGCGTATCGTGGCCACCGAAAAGAAGTTCGCGTTCACGTGCATCCTCCCTCCCATTGGTCCGTTCCCGCTGAAAGATGACTTTGGGATGGCATCGGCTGTGGCTCTGCTTGACAAGTCGCTGGACCCAGGAAAGTACGAGAAATGTGTGCAATGGTCCACGATACGCCGTATCCGTTCGGCCATCACGAACGCACATGGAGCGTCCGTGAATGTCTTGAACGACACGGTTGGAGTGAACAAGAAGGACTTCACCCGAATCTCGTCTGCTCCTGTACACGGCGTCTTCTTTGGCCGTTTCACGGCAGGGCTACATCGTAGGATTGGTGAAATCGTCAGACGAGACGAACCAGTCACGATTCATGTGATGTTGGAAGTCCAGAAGATTTGCGAGGAAGAATGGGATGCCGAGGAAGCCAAGCCCATCATGCAACGGGATCAACAACTTATGTTTGACATATCAGTATGTGCCTTCTGGTTCCTGCTGGGTTTCTGCATCGGTATGCGAGGAGAGGAGCATCTCATCATTGAGCTATGGGGCACTTGGAAGAGTCTCTCGGCCCTCAGGAATGTGGGATACGACGTCTACCACATGCCTCCGCACATGGATGCCGTGTTTGGGGGCCGCACGAAGGGAAATGCAATCACCGGCGAGAAGATTCGCATTCCCATCTCAAGAGAAACCCACAACGGTTTGATGCCTGGCATGTGGGCCGAGCGAATGATGACACCCATTCTCACCTACCAGCGTCGTCACACGGGATTTCTGTTCCAACAAGGAGACACCGATCCCAAGTTGTCGGACTACGAGGAGATGTTTCACAAGGCTCTCGAGAAGGTGCAGAACCGTCGTCCGGATCTGATTCCCATTGACATGGACGTACGGGAAGCCTACGGCATCTCTAGGTCCCTCAGAAGAGGAGTCACAGCTCATGCAACCAACATGAATGTGGATGAGCGTCTCATTCGGGCTGTCAACAGGTGGCGATCTGATTACAAAACGGATGCAGGACCAACAGAAATCAAAGAAGTCTACACCCGGTTGGACCAGATCAGGCCCACTGTTCTTCGCTATTCTGCTGCCTTATAAGCGCAGAAGTGTGAGGCGTTGGCTTTTTGCTCGATTGATCGCCTGGCGCGCACCTCCGCGTAACGCGTCAGGTCATCGCGCATCGCCAACGCCCAGCGATGGAGGTGCGAGTCAATACAAGGAGAGGCACACACTTGGACATCAACAGTCATGAACAGACAGCAACGAAATCAACGCGGCCTGCAGATCAGAGGCTTGATCCAAGCTCTGGAAGACGAGCTGCGGGCATTGAACCTAGACGGTCCCACCATACGTGCTGGCACTCGAGTCGTCATCACGAGAGCTGACAAGTATAAGGGTAGACGTGGTACTATTATGGATAGGCGTACAGCTACTTCGGATTTCTGGAATATCCGCCTTGATGCAAGAGGAACCTCCACTCAACAAGTGATTTACAAGAAGGCATCCGGCTTCAGAGCAATCAACGACGAGCAACAGCAATAGATTGCTGTGCGATAATGGCACCCCGTTTGTGGTCGGCACACACCTTGTGGTCGCTGGTGACTCATCCGGCAAACTCCTCAGGAGCTTCAACATCGATGTCGACAGCGTCTCCTCCGGCTCGAATCGTGGAAGCGTTCGCCCTCAACTCAGACTCGATGTTCGTCAGAGCACCGTCCAACCAAGTCTGAGCGTTGTTGACAGCAGCCACACAGTCGTTGGAGAAGCGCTGCTTCTTGAGGTTGCGCTGGGCCAAACGCTGGTACTCGTCGATCGCCTTGCGCTTGAACTTCTCTTCGTTCTTCTTCTTGTAAGCAACGGCCTTGCTGCCGTTGATCATGGAGTCGAACTGCGCCTGGTACGCCGGAGTCATGAAGTTCCGTCCACGCATGACGACAGAGCGATACCCATCATCGTCTTTCAACCCCTTCGCTTGGGACAGGTCAGCGAAATACTGAGCGAGGGAACGATCAGGAGGAGGTGGTTCTGCATTGCAAAAGACAACGAAATGAGGAACGCGGCAACGCCTTGGGACGTGAGCAAATAACACACAAGACTTACGCGCCATGGTCAATGTCAAATTTCAAATTGGTTTACAGACAAAGTACTTCGATTGACGATCAACCTTAAACTTTTTGTGGGGAGAAGTGAGAGGGACCTCGATCGATACGAAATGAAAGCTAGGAGTGACAACGCTTGGACACTCTCCTACTCTCTACAACAACGGACGATTCCCACAACTGATGATTCCCACGCTGAAAAGGTTTCATCGAACAAGTCCCACGTCCACGATCGTGTGTTATCTGTCTTGACACTGCACACAAGCACAAACGCCGCACACACACAACACCAAACAACTGTCGCTCGCCGCGCAACATCTCTTTAAGACTGATCCAAGTACTTGTTACCTTGGAACAGTTTGAGCTGGGCGAGCCGTTCAGATCTCGTATGAATGTTGAATGACGTCTTAAGTGACTGACCATACCCATACGAACTGAACACTTGATTCCATTCGTGGCATCAAGTTTTGCTTGAGGAAAAGTGAGAATTCACGTCCCACTTCTCCTCATGCCCTTGATCCCCTCATGACTTCATCAAGCATGATGGGATCGCTACAAAGGGCTACTATCTCATGAGGGGGGATTGGCCTGGTACCACTAGCAGGAATGCCACCTGCTATTGGTCCAGTCAGGTTTGTTAGAATTTGGTGAACACCCAGCAAAGAGGCTCACAGCCAAAAGTCTCCCAGTAAACTCTTCTCTGATTGTCCTAGACATCAGGAAGATGTACACTGGGACCAAGGCTTTGGTATGTGTCCTCTTCATTAGGTCCCTCCCACTTCTGGCTATCATTGGTACCCTGATTCTGCCATCTGGTGGATGAGGCGGCCAAGGGATATCCCCCCCACTTTAATGAGTAGTTTAATCCTGATACTAGAAAGTATTATGATTACAAGGCTTGGATTTTGGCACAGACAAGTGGAGCCTCTGGTATCCAAAGGACGGAACCCTTAAATAAACAAGCCCTTAAAACAAACCCTTAAAGCTTCAACAAGCCCTTAAACAAACCCTTAGAAAACCAGCCCTTAATTGTACTGGAGTCAGTCGTGTCAAGTTTTAAAGCCTGAGTGAAAAACGTCGGACGGTCCAGCAACGAATACCTGGTACGGTACTGGTACGTGTTCAAAAATCTTCAGGAAGAGTGCCTCTCTCTACTAGCTAGCTACGGTACCGATACGGTAGGCTCTACACAGGCGCCAAAAGACATCAAGAACTTTGTTGCTGCAACAATGAACTTTCCGCTTGCCGTCCCTCAGAGCGGGATCCTTGGAAGCAGGGATCCTCGTGACAACCGAGCTCCCGCGATCAATGTTGGCGAGAATTTTGTTGTTCAAGTGGAAGATGCGGCCATCGAGTATTCCAATCGAAAGCGCTTGCGTGATCGTGACCCCAATAGCATTACCGAAGATGGAGTCAAGGCGAGTCGCCGCCGTCTTGTGGCTCTCGAGACTTTTGAGGCGCAGGCGACCCATGGAATTGGCAACGGAGCAGTTCTGGCGTCTGTTGCGAACTTGACGACCACTATCAACAACTTGGCGACCACTGTCAACAACTTGGCGACCACTGTCAACAACTTGGCGACCACTGTCAACAACTCGACGAATAGTGGTAAGTGAGCACGCTACGAATCGAATCATTTTCATGGCAAATGGAAATACTGTAGCTTATACATGTATGAATAATGTCTTTCTAAAAATGAATGGGGTGGTGCAGTTACGGCGATGTTGCGAAACATTCGTATCCGGGAGCGTAACCGACACGGAGAGTGGGTTCCAGTGCTTGTTGAGCAGCCTGGGCCAAATGCCATGGGTGTTGCACCAGCAACATTCCCGGCAAGCCACGCTGCTGTCTTCGCTATGAATGGTGCTGCAATTGCTGCTTTGCAAAACGCCTACAATCTCCCCGCAGGATTTTTTGGGGGTGGTACTTTAGCTAACCGACGAGCAGCGGTAATGAACTACATCCGTGAGGGATAGGAATGGAAATAAAACCGCATGTGGCGACGAACAAATGCGGGAATGAGCTAGCTGCATGTAGGAGAAAAGGAAACCGAGAAGATCCTTGACGACGAAGAAGACACCAACAGTACAGGATACTGTATTATCGCCAACCCTCTCCAGGTTGGTCTTCCAAAGATTTGTGTGCTTCTCATCACAGCGTCATGCTGAGGAGACTGATGCCTCCAATCCTTTTGGCCGCTACTGCCTACCGGTGTCACTGCTACCAGTAACACTGCTGCCCTTCTCAGTAACACCAGCAGCCTGGCTGAATGATGACAACACCAACACAATGGTTGACACCCTCAGTCCATGGATCGATCGCTACAGCTACACTGACTTCTCTCCCTCATTGAATGCTTGCGGTAAACAGGAGAAAAATCCTAGCTTGACCAACAAGAGTGGTGTCCTTTTCCCATTGGCATCAATAAACAAAAAATGAGGTCACGCCTCTACCATACCCATCAAAGAAATGAAGTCGCACCTCTACTACAGGTACCTGGTACCGGCACGGCTGTTATACTGGCACTGGTACCGGTATCAAGCCTCAATCAATCCCACAGTCTCCGGTGTTGATTCGAAAACCATCCCTCATCGAATTTTATGGACCATGGGATGGCAGTCAGTTCTCGGCCCATGACAGTCAAGGTGGTGGAATTTGAAAAACAAGAGCAAGTCGCCGGTTTTCTGCAGTATCAGAATAGAAGAGAAAACCATATCTATGCCTTACTTTCTATTCTCTTACTGCTGACGGCCGAAGAAATACTATTGTCGAGTCCCTTTCGGTCGATCGCTACGGATAACAAACAGGAGGAGAGGCAGTCAACCAGAGAAGGACCTCCGCTACACCACAACTTGCACGCACAAAGGAAAGCGGATCCTCTGTTGGATTCATCTCACCTTGTTATTTCCTGGTGTTTTGGTGGTGATTCCTGTGTTGGTACCGATTTTCCTGTATGCACAAATCCTCGAGCGACTAGTCGTACATACGATAGATCAGGTTCAACAAGTCCGTGGAGGCAGAAAACAACCAATATAGATGTACTATGCTTTACCATTGCCGCACGTTCCCCATTCACTTGGTGTGGAACGGCTGTCAAGGGAAGTAAGTTGCGCTGACTGTTGTTCCAAGCTGAGATGGCAAACCAATTCCAACCATTAATTCGATTCGATCACATGCAGTTGCCAATGAGCAACACGAAAGGAGAGGAACTTACAAGAACAACAATTTCGGTCTAATCAACGTAACGTAGTCAACGCCGACCTTGGCAAGAAATCTGCTAACGGTATTCTCCAGCGAGCGTCCAAAACCCGTTGTTTGAAGCAGTCCATCAAGTTGACTGGACTTGGGGTGCTTCCAATGACGGACAGCCAACAGCTGTCTAATCCAGGCAACCCTTTTTGATCCTGCGGACAATAGCTACTACTGTACTATATTGCCGGCGCCAAAGCAGCCACTGGAGAGCAAGTTCCATGATGGAGACCTTGATGGAGATCGAAACAGCGAAGGACACGACAAAGAGACGATGCTGTTACTCCTCCAACTATGATTGGCCCCGTCCCAGTCAAGAACAACTTTGAACGGGACAAATCCATGCTAGATATCGACAGAAACCTTCTGTGTCAGCAAACTCAGCAAAAATTACCACAGGGCTTCTTTCGGTATCATTCCGATCCAGTTGTAGCTCAGAGCCCATCTTGATCCTGTCGACGAAAGAAGCTTTCATACTACAACCAATGCAATGCTTGTCACAGCCAAGATCAGTGGAGGATCCAACGAAATGAAAGTTCGGGCCCCGTGCCATTCTGGTACTAGTACAAACACAGTGGAAAAATGACAAATTTCCGGGCCTACCATGCATTGGACCCACTTCAGGCCAAACACTAGGAGGTCCATAGCCAGAACACAAGCTTGCCCCGACCGTCATCTGGACTGACTCCAGTTCCCACAACACAATATATTCCTGGTCTCTGTTCAAACACCAGGTCCATTGTTTGGACCCACTTCAGATCCAGCCAACCCATGAACCCACTGGACCAACTTTTCCAGAGCCTATGCCTGGGCCCACACCAGGACCACTCCAGGTCCCAGTACTCCTGGTCGATTCCCAGGATATATGTACACCTAGTTCCACCCCTTCTTGACTAAAGCTAGGATCCTCTCCACCTGGCCCAACACCAGGTTCATCATCAGTCAGGGCCAACTTCTCAACCCACTCCTGGATCAACCGATGGACCAACTTCAGGGCCTGCGTTGCTACGGTAACACCAGATTCATCACCAGGACCAACATCTGAACCCACCTCTGGAACAATTTTCTGGACCGATCATCAGACCAACCCCAGAGCCCATCTCTGGATTCACTCCAAATCTCACACGAGGACCTACCGGTACTCCTAGCTAGCTAATTCCCAGGCCCCACTTGTGATCCCGCCTCTAGACTGGTGGTACCTAAACTACATGTATCTTTCCGTTCTTGAAGTCCATCCTTGTCAATCAGTCGAGGCAAACTACCAGCTAGATGGCTGGCTGACTAGAGCGTTTGTTTCATTTCTGTTCACTGGGTTGGCGCACCCGGAGGGGCATCTTGTAATTGTACTAAAAGAAAGGGCCAAGGACTGCAAATTGTATCACAGTGCAGTATTGTTTTTCCAGTTACAACAACACCTTTGTAGGGAATTTGATCGATTTTCCAAGCGGTCTCCATCCCATCGTGACTGCAGTGGCCTGGTTGAAGTGATTCAGGGTCGACTCTCGTTTGCCTACTAGTACATCGACGGCATGTTGCAGAGGGAAAGGGCATCATGTCTTTTGACTCGGAATGTTTCGGAGCAGACGACAGATATTCTTGACTGACAAACAACCATCCCGGTCTGTGTGAGTCTGTTGCTTGAGCTTCACAGTTGTCCACGACTATCACCGCTCTACACGATAAGCATTCCGATGATAAATCAAAGGAACTGAAATCTAACCTTGTGAGGCAGTATATTGGGGGATCCCTCTCACTCAAAGGTCCTGCCTGCCCATGGACCTCTTGATCATGACAAATCTGTTCCATCCGCCGAGGACCTCAGCCTTTCGCAAAGTCTTCCTTGTCGCTGTCTTTTTCAATTTTTTCATCTTGCATTCTTTTGATGCCCGCTGGTAGTCTTTTTCAACTCTTTTTCCAGGACGTCATTGGTGTATGTCGGAAGTGGCAAACAGGCATTACCATCCGAAGTGGAAGAAAACCGTTGTATCTCCTCCTCCACTACTTGGTCTAGCTGCAGCACAACAGCTTGATCAGGATCTTCTTGTGTGTTGTCACTTTGAGCTGTTGTTGTAGAAATCAATTGTTGCACCAGTGCCGATCCCCCATTGACCCGATCCATGACAATCAAGGCCAAATCATCCATATCGATTCGTAAATGCTTGTTGTTACTATTGTGTTTGCTGCTGTCTTTTGCTGGTGGTGTTTCTTCTTCGTCATCATCGTCCAAGTTCAAAAACTGGAGTACTTGTCGTATCGTTTTGGTGGGAAATCCCATGAGACGATCCAGTGTAATGGTCAAGAGAGGGAGATGTAGAGTGGTTTGAAGATGACACTGCCATCGCATTTCGTATCTCATCAAGTCCATCAAGTCATCTAGTAGTAGGAGTGGAGGTGAGTGATTATGAGATAGCGTCAATGCAATATCCGCGGCTTGCAATACCACTGGCAAGGTGGTCAGTCGAATGGCCAAGGAAAAATCGTCCATCACGTCCGATGATAATGGAAGCACTGGAACCAATTCAATGCTGCTGTCGGCATCTTGTTTATTGTGATACTTTTGTACCACTCGAGTGACAAATTCCACAAAGACGTCTCCCAGTCTTCCAATGGGACGCACCAGTGCCACTCGTCTTTTGTTGCTGTTGTTACTGGACAACTTTTCTAGTTGGAGATCATTAGTATTGAGTACAGTGGAGCTCTGAAGAGCCTTCCGATAGCCTTCATTCCGATCGTTGGGCCAAAGATCCACAAAGGAATCTGGTGGTTCTTGTAGACGTCTCTCATTATTAGTCTCATCATCCTCTTGACCCACCAGCAGCTGGGACATGCTGGTGATGGTGCAAAAGGCAGTCACACCAAACACCAACGCCCAAAACAACGGTTTGCAGGACGGATGCTTTCGCTTCATGCGCAATCGACGAGGAGAGGTCATAATAAAATTGATGATGGCATTCTTAGCTTTCAATAGTACTGTAGCACAAAAAGCGACCGATCACAGCGTTTATTCAATCGTTCCAATTAGTTTAGTCGTCGCAACAGAGGGCAGAAGATATCTGGGACGTCGCTGTGGCAGCTTGAGGATCAGGGAGAGACGCTGTTGTCGAAAAGGGAGTCAGGGGAATAAAAATAAAAATATTATTATCCCAAGTATAAGCCAGCTAGTATGTGTACGATGGATTTACTGCAGTACTCTCTTCAACGTGCCGGCACCGCGAATTTAATTTTAACCGAGGGGACGTGATCGTCACAACGACAAACCCCCTAAGGCCTAAATACATGTGGGTCGGAACGCTTTCGAAATTTCCGGCGAGAGACGTTGTCGGTGCATGCTACCCAAAAATCAAAGTCCCACTCCGCTTCATTTTCAACTCGAACCAACCACATAGCAACCGATATCAACAGCCACAGTCAACAGATCTTGTATCATAGCACATGCAACAATACCCCTGCTGTGGGAACCAGGAGACTCTTGCATCCAGAGCTGGCGTGGGAAACATCATAAACAAACAATCCGTATCAAGCAAGATGGATGATTGGGACGACTTTGTAGCCTCGCTGGACGATTTTGAGGAGGAAGATGACGTGGGGTATGAACAACTGGAGCAAGAAGGTCCACCGGTGCCACCCTTGGAATTCCCCACTCCTGTGGTCTTTCAAGCTCAAGTAGCCAGTGTCAAGGCGCTGGATCATCGCAATGGCAATGTTCGCTGGTTGGACAATGTCCTCATGCGCAGTAGTTTTAGTTCTGGCAACTACAACAACAGGACACTACCCAAGGCCTTTTTGGTTCGAAAAAAGATATCCAAGACAACCTATGGCTCAGTCCGTGTGGCAGTGGTGCTCCGCAAGCGAGACGACGATGAAGACGATGACAACAACAGCATGGATAATGATAATGACACCAAGTGGATCAGTACCGAAGAGCTGGTCGCTATCAAGATTAGTGCCTGGAATAAGATACGGCAATTGAGAGGACAACAGCATCATGTGGGGGATCCCCTTCGTGAAGTAGCAGCACTCCAGTACGTGGGAAACTACAATCCTCACGTGGTGGGATGCATAGAAACACTGCAAGATGACAAGAATCTGTACACCATCATGCCCTATCATCATGGTAGCAACTTGCATGGGAGGTTGTTTGCTGACCCAGAGAGCACCACCAATAGTAGCAGTAATAGAAGCAGTAAGCAGCGACAACAACGAAAACCCAACGAAGACGAAGCTAGAAAGATTTTTCGACAGCTACTCAAGGGCTTACAGCATTTGCAGCGCAAAGGCGTCTTTCATCGAGACATCTCATTGGACAATCTACTCATTTCCAAGTCCAACCAACTACGTATTGTTGATCTAAGCATGAGTTTGCGTGTGCCCTACTCGGATCCATGCAATGAATGGAATGTCACGGATGTCTCGGAAGGCACCATTCGTCGGTTGCTCAAGCCTCAGGGAAAGGCGGGAGGACGACTCATGTACCTAGCGCCCGAGGTACTGACCGAGACGGAACCAGTGGATGGATTCGCCGTCGACCTGTGGGCTGCTGGTGTGATCCTCTTTGTTTTGTGCGTGGGGCTAGCACCCTTCAAGTTTGCCGAACCACGGGAAAAGCGATATGCCAAGATCTCATCCGGTGGCTTGAAGAGCCTGATGAAGAGCTTGAGGATATCGCTGAGCCCCGAAGCCTGTGACTTGTTGCAAAACATGCTGTGGGAAGATCCACGGCAACGATATACCCTGACCGAAGTGATGAAGCATCCTTGGGTCATGGCAACAGACAGCAGCAACAAGGAGGACGACAAGATTCCAGTAGATCAGCAGCAGCAAGCCGCCGTGGACAACACGCTGTCCAGTGACGCAGCATCCGTCACATCTCAGTCTTCGACCGAACCGTCACAGGCAGACGCCAAACCGGAAGACAAAGCGGGCTCTGTTGCCGCTCCTGCAGCAACGGCAGATGCTCCTACCGCAGAAGCTCGACAAGCCGTTTCCGAACAACGGGAGGCTGTGTCTGCGGTCAATCTTCGTTTGAAAAGGGCAGTCAACAATGCGCAACGCATTGGCCCCAAAATGAAAGAGGCCATTTCGAAGAACTTGAGCGGTGGGGCAATGCTATCGGCCATGGCAGTTCTTTCGTCGGCAGAGACTATACCGGTACCACCTGATGACGATCCGGCTCCTGTTCCTCCTCCCAACAACAGTAATGTTTCTCCTACGAGGAATCTTTTGCAACGACTCGGCAAAAGGTCAACACAATCGACAAACACAACCGTATCATAGACGGGAACATCCAGGTGACAATCCTACTACAGTAACAGTACTATAGAGTATTATTTCTTTGTTTTATCTTGTACCGGTGTTCCTCTGTTGCAAAAAGTAGGGATGGTGATTGGGAATAATTTCCCGCTCTTACAGTACAGAAAGGAAGACGCTAGTTGAAGCCATGGTCGAAGGGAGTAGTCTAAGCAACAGGCTGGGTCTGGCCGTTGCGGTGACTGGTTGTATCGCTGATTGTCACTCATCAAGGTGCTCCCGCATGGCTTTTGGCTACCTGGATCTTTGTGTGTGACCATAAATATGAGCCATCCATGTTTCCTGCACACAGGAACTGTTGTCGCAGGTTCTTCCTCGCTCCGGATGTGGTTTTCCTTTCTGCTAAGTCGTTTGCCCTCCTGCCAACTTTTTGTTATTGTCGCTTTTGTTCGAACAAGCCACCCATACCAGTGCAGTTCTTCTGTTTTTTACTTTTTGCCTTTGCAAACACCATCTCCCTCAGCTTCGCACTTGTCTCGGTCGACCCAGCACTGTGCAAAGGGAGCCGAACAATTGGGGGCAAAGCCTCGACCAATCTTGGTGGCAAAGAGACTCAACTCGGTCCGTGCATTGGCTTCCCCCACCGAGAAGAAGCTTTCACAAGGCCACGTGGTCATATTTTTGGTCTTCCACATTTCGTCTCTCAACACCTCATCCAAGACTGTTAGGACCTTGAGTTGCGATTGCGATGATTCGGCTTGAATGCGTGTCAGAATTTTGGAGACAAAACCCAATTCGGAAGATAGCATTCCCACATCGTCCATTCCTCCATCCATGGCGCCCATTTGTTGCATCATATCATCCAATTCGTCCTGTTCGGATACTTTTTTGTCGGGTGAATGCTTTAGAAAATCGTATAGTTTTTGTGTGGCTTCATCAATGTTATCCATAAAATCGTTCAAGTTGACCGAGAAAATGGCGGTATGAGCCGCCACTTTGCTGAGACGACAGTGAAATCGCATCAATTGTCGTAGTACCGCCTTGAGGTCGTTGAGTGTGATATCCTGCTGATGTAATGCGAGGGGTTGCTCTCCTTCTTGGTGATGATGATTTTGTTCTCCATCGACAATGATTTGTTGAAGTGCATCGGCCACCCCCATGACGAGCGGTCGCGGTACCAGACGGATGATTTTGGAGAGTCCGTGCGTTTTGCCGTATCCGTAGGGTGGAACATGACTGGTACGAATGAATTCCATGGGTATCTTGTCCAGTGCCTTTTGATGTTTCTTTCGAACCTTATCGATCCAATGCCACAACATCTCGCTCATTTGTCCCGGAGGCGCAATCACGGCAATGCGCTGTTTGTCGCCATTGTCGGGAGGTATATATGTCCCGCACTTTTGGTGTTTCGCCTCCTGACCGGGGATACAGCTCTTGATGGTATCCAAAAACAGTTGTTCATTCGCCAGCAACTCGGAATCCACCGTTTCCACGGGTTTATTATCAATAATCTTTTGAAGTGGCTGTTCGGCAACTTGCTGTTCCTTCACGATATGCAGGGTCGGTTTCACAATCGAGTAGGTGACCGATACCATGGCCAACAGGACCAGCCCCACCACAATGTCGTAGCGAACTTTCTTCTTGCCCCGCAAGGGTGCTGCGCCTCTTGGAAGAGTGGTGGCACTGGGGACTGCCATTGTGACTGTAATTAGATACAGTAGTTAGTTGTGGTTGTTTTAGGATATAAAAGACAAAAGGGGAGCTACCCGTATCGTATTGTCAGAGAGCTTTGCTTGTTGGCCGTTGCGGACATTTCTTTTGCATTCTCGTCGAAAAGCCGAAAGATCCACCCGGTCTGACCTGATCCACCCGCCACCTTCTGTTTACAGCTCTGCCGGATGCATCTTCAGACTTGGCTGAAAGCGACGACGATGACGAGCCCAACAAACAACAAACCTCCCAGCTGAAGAAAGAGAGAGGGCTACAGCTAGTAGTAGAGAGCAGAGGAAGAGGTTGCTTGTATTCTTTTTAAAATAGACAAGAAAGATGTTCCTGTCAAGTTTCCGACTTCGAGTACTACCGAGAGTCTTGCAGATATCGAGGCCATTGCCATTTCGTGCGCTGCAGCGATTGGCAGTACAACAACATCATGCAGTAGTAGCACCATCCACAAATGGTATTTTCTCGCAACAACAGGCCACAGCAACAACAAGATGGTTTGCCAGCAGCGCAACAATGCCGGACAAGGAATTGAAAAATCGCCTCGAAGATTTTCAAGAACTCTTTGTGGAAGCTCGATTGTGTATTGAAGATTGCAACGATTCGGCTGGAACCAAATATTTCGATGAAGAAGCCGAAGCCGCTACCGAAGCAGTCGAGGAGGCTGTGGCGGCGTTCAAAGCATTGATTTCTGATATTGAGGATGAAGATCAAAAGAATCGTATCTTGAGAGGAAATGGTCTCAAGGTGGAGCAACTCAAGGGAGAATTGGAAATGGCAATCAAAGGTGGTGGTGATCATCACTAGTCACATAGTTGGACAGCCGAAGAATGGCAGCTGAGATTGAAAAGTGCGATCGAGGAAACAGTGACGAAACCTAATATTTCCAGCCACAGTCAATGTAATAGAAAATCAGGAATTCACTTTTCTATTATTAGCTGTATGATTGTACATGGTTTCGTGGCACGACGGCAGAATGCATACCGGTACTAGTAGGTTGAACTTGAGGCGCCGCTGCAGTGTGTGCCGCTGTACCCACACTTCAAATGCAGTTTGACCATTCATGTTTGTTTCAAAAGCAATCTTCCATGCACCATATGCAAAGGATCTAGCTAGCTACCGGTAGGGCAAAAGATTTTCGCATGCCCAGTCAAACAGTTGGTTCCCTTTGACCGCATTGTTGGGGGTGCGTTCATCCCAAAGACAATCATTTATTTGTAAGGCCCAACCGTTACAGTTGTAAATGTCCATGTGATGCAGCATTCACACATGTGTCTTCATTCCAGGGGCAACCTTGTTTTATGCGTCCATTGGAGGGCTCCCAGCCAAAGAGCCCGCCTGCACCCTTGGAATGAGAGTATTTCTTCTCTTGTAGCTGGTCATGGGAACTTGAATGTACACATGAAAAGGCCACCCCTGGGACTAACCAACCTGTTTCATGCAGAGCTGCTGCACTTGGGCATTTGGAAATTCTCAAGTGGGTCACAGAGAGTGAGCGACTGTCCTTGGGATTCATCATTCATCATTCATGGGCACCTGAAGAAGCTGCTAGAGAGGGGCATTCGCAAATCCTTATTTTATTAATAAATGGGCCCACAAGAATGGTTGCCCTTGGGATGCAAGGGCATGTGAATATGCTGCCAGATATGGGCATCCTGGCATCATGAAGATGAAGGGCTCGACAGAGCGTGGGATGACATGGCCATGGGAAAGAGATAAATGATAACCTTAAGCAGTACTGGTAACCCTTCACAGGGTTCTCAAGATCCAGATATCCATTCTTCCAAGCAAATCGATGGTGTTCCTTTGGGCCATGGCGCTTCACCTCAATCAATCTCATTCCAAGAGAACCGCCAAAATTTTTTATAGTCGAACACGATAACACGATAGTGCAGAGCAACAACCATCACCATGACCTCCGACAATGACATGGCCAAGACTCTGCGAGACTCGTTGGGGCGTCTTGATGTGCAGCGCAAGTCATTGGAAATGGAAGCAGAGGCCATTGTCTCGGAGCTGACAGCCAAACCTGAAAATGGGGGAGAACCCATGGGGATTGATACGCCACTGGTCGATCGAGAAGGATATCCGCGAGGAGATATTGACGTTTATCGAGCCAGAGATCTGCGCAATCGATTGGCCATTATCCGAACGGATAACAAAAGTCTCATGAAACAAATTGAAGGACTCTTAGTACAACTGGCAGCCGTCAAGGTGGGTACCATTGAGATGTTGTTGGATTTGTGCGTTTTTCCTTTGAAAATTTCCTTTTTGAGCTGATGATATCTCATGTATTTCTCTCCATACTATCTGTCTGTCTTTCTTCACCGTAGAACCCCGGCAAGAAGGAAGAAGAAACCAAAGAAGAGGCATCCCGTGCTGCTCCCAAACCAAAACCAAAATACGATCCAAAAACAGGCAAATGGGTAGTCAAAAACTGGGATGGCACTGTTGCAGGGGTAGAAGATGGTGAGAAGAGAACCTTTGACAATCTACAGGGCAACACTGACGACATCCTCACCAACGCCGCAAGTACTGGTCAGACCCCGTCACTTGCGGCAACGCGGCCACCCTTTGCCAAGATTGACCAAGTAGCACCGCTGTCTCCGGCCGCGGAAGCAGGGTTGAAAGAAGGCGATCTCGTTGTCGAATTTGGATCCATCCATCATGACAATCATGAGAATCTGAGGGCGCTCATGCCAGTTGTCGCAGTGGCCGCGGATGCACAACGGGCCATTTCCATTTCCTTGCTTCGTCGGCCTACATTTGCCGATCCTCAAACCATGCTTCGTGTGGAATTGACGCCCAAACCCTGGCCTGGTAGAGGGCTCATTGGTTGTCACATTGTACCCTACTCTTAGCTGGATACTAGCTATAAGCGGCTATTCCAGTTTTAGCTTCATGTACAGCGGAGCCAAGCAAGCTTTGAGGACTGGGAAATTTCATTGGTTTCGCAAAGATTACATGTAGTTAGTTTGCTTCAAGCCCCTGGGATAACTGGCGTGATTTGCTTCTTGGGTCCTCAATAGACTACCGGTATGAACTTTGATGCACCCTCGTGGCTCAGGGCTGGTTATCACTGCCGGTATGGCTTGGTACAAAATTGCTCGGCAGATGCTAGCTACATGTTGCGGTATAGGTCTGGGGGTGCTACGAGCACACCAGACTGGAAATCTGTGGTTCCTACTATAGACGGTCTTCTACGGCTTGCTAGCTCGTACGGTGGTTGCGGTACCTTCCAGATAGCTAGCGCCTACACCCGGCAAAAAGTTTCAAACTGTTGCTTGCAAGCTGGAGGCTCCATGCCAGCCGAGTATTAGAGGATCTGTGAAGATCGCATTGCCGAAAACCGCTGTAACGTTTGGTGCCGGTACTAGCTAGTAGAAGTGTGATGGTGTTCGCAACAAGAACCTTGGCTGAAACATTGGAAATGGACATGTCGCTTTCTGAACAAAACCACACAGTTGCAAGATTTTAAGTACGCACTTGTAGCTCTGGCTAGCTATTATAGCTCTAGCTATTATAGCTCTCTAGCTAGCTATTACTCTTTTTAGAAAGTAGACCAATACTGTGTAAGGGACAAAATTAATTGGATATTACGGAACGATGGAACATGCCATTCGGGCTTCAGCACGTCGCGAGGTCGGTGGCTGGAGAGATTCACAGGCCCAGAAATCTATCTGCCCTTGATGAAAGAGTTGTGGTCGTTGGATGTTCTGGTGTCCACCGAGGATCTAGCTGGCCCACGCTTCATCACTGTTTCGCAGGCTCTCCAGCTAGCTAGCTAGTGAGCTTCCTTTTCAATCCCTTTCATTCCTTTTTAGTCGCCTTGATGAACGAGCTGTGGTCGTAGGATGTTCCGGAGTCTAGATGGCGAGGATCTAGCTGGCCCTCGGTTCCATCGCTGTTTCGCAGGCTCTCCGGCTACAAGCTTCCTTTTCATTCTGATAGCCAAGCATAAGCTTCCCCTTGGCGTAATAGTGACCAATGCATCCAACAGCTCACCACTAACACCTACAGTAACACCTCATGATGCCTCCGTGCCACCCACTCGGATAACGAAGACGACAGCTTTGAAATACCACGTAGAATGGCGTGTTACCGTTACCAAAACATAAGTAGCTGCTGGTAGTACCATTACGATTACAGGCTCCCCGCCACTGTCCAAGAACATGGTGTTGGGTTTAGACGCTCCAACCGAGACAAAGAACATGTGTTTGGATTTAAAGATTGTTCTCTGACCGCCCTGTGGACAAGGTTACTTAGAACCAAAATTCAAGCAAAAAATCTGGAGGTCGGGTGTCACGTACCAGTAACACATCCCAAGGCTCAAGGTTGCGCGTAGATGCGGTAAACAATTCTTTTGATACAAATATTCAAAGTAAATAATAACTTTAACGCTATATTTACCACAACTATCTGGTATCCAAAGCGAAGGGACTGAAACTCACCAAATTCATAAAACTGTCCAACGTTACCCCAAAAATCTGAAACGGAGCAAACCCCGAAACGACCCATCTTTCATCATCCTCCTATTGTAGCTGTTGAAAGAGTGTGCATCGGAACAGGACTGCTTGACAGCTCCGATCTAACTAATTACTGAGTGTGATCAATCAGGGATAGTCGACGGCTAACAAGGAAAGCGAAAGGAGCGTGTTGGTGCCGATTGGGTCTGTGTTGGCAGCAGTCGGGTGACAATCGTTGCCGCTCGCAGCTGATACCGGGTTCTGAACGTTCTCTGAATCAAAAAGGAAACGGTTTCTGTTGCCATTTGCTGAACTGTTGTGACACACCATGGACTGTCTCCCCAAGAGCAACACATCTCCCTTTCTCCACGATGCCGGCAGTGTGGCAGAATGTCCCACTACCTGTCCGCGAGAGAAGCTACCCGCCCATCACTGCTACTGGGATGAAGCTCTCTTTGACTGCTTCCACGATCTCAGTGGCCACGATAACAACCACAACCATAACAACAGCAATCATCCACAAGACTACGCATCCACATCGTCCTACGGGTTTGGATCCTTTAGCGTCACGGTCAGTGCGGATTCGTCTCGGTACGACGATGAGGATGACGAAGAAGGATACGGCGGTCATGCCGCACTGCATTACGCAGATGTCGAAGAAGCTGGACCTCCCGCTCGCCCTCAGGAGTTCCCAACTCCCTTTGTCCATCAGGGCATTCGAACGATGGTCCGAGCCATGGATCATCGAACACGCAAGATACGAGATGTCAAGAATGTTCTGCTGGCAGTTGCCGCTCCTGACAACAACAACCAACAACAACGATTCCCCAATAGCATTACCGAGCGAGCGTATCTGTTAAAGAAAAAGATTGCCAAGTCATCCTATGGCAATCGATACTTGTCGGTTGTGCTACAGAGACGAACATCCATTAGTCGGACTAGCAGTTTTGAACGAGACGAGAACAAACGACCCGAAGATGACTGGAACGAGGTAGAATGGGAATCCACAGAACAGTTTGTGACTGTCACCGTATCTCCCTGGAATCAAGCCATGCGACAGCACCGTCGAAGTCTATCCTGTAAACGAGCCGGACCCGTACATGCCATTGCCGCCATGCAACATGTAGGAAACTATCATCCACACGTGTTGGGGCTGGTGGGAGTCTTTGAAGATGAGGAACACTTGTACACGGTCTCTCGAGTCCACGGAGATTTCGTGGATTTGCAAACCAAGATTGTATCCGGACGAAGTCAAGGCGCGTATGTACCCAATGAAGCGGAAGCACGAGGCATCTTTCATCAACTACTACAAGGACTCTTTCATTTGCAACGAAAGGGAGTTTGTCACTCCAATCTGTCGTTGGAAAATGTCTATATTGATCGAGCCACGAATCAGAATTTGGCCATTGTAGATTTGGCAAGAGCCATTCGAGTGCCATACAATGATCCGTCCAATTATGGTTGTCTGGCGGGAGAGTCAGAAGGAACCCCGCGCCGGTTATTGCAGTTGCTTCCCCAAGATTTTGCCAGTCATCCCACAGAGAATCTCATGTACTTGGCTCCCGAGATTTTGGAAAATGAAGATGCATTTGATGGTTTTGCGGCGGATTTGTTTGCGGCAGCCGTCGTTTTGTTTGTGCTCCTGGTGGGCATGGCACCCTTCAAGACGGCTCACTACTGGGATGCGGCCTATGCGGAAATCTCCAGTGGGAATCTTCACGGACTGCTGGCGAGTTTGAACATTCAGTTGAGTGACGAAGCCATTGGGCTCTTGCAAAATATGTTTTGGAGGGATCCACGAGATCGACTGACTTTGGCCGAGATTCTGGATCACCCGTGGGTCAAGAACCAACGCTTTCCTGCAAACAGCAAGGCCAAGGGCAACACTATTCCCCGAAATACCAGCAACAGCCACCTATCCGGAGGAGAGACCGCATCCACCTCGTCATCCGACAAGCCTGACAAGGCTCGTCTGACGCCCAAACGCAAGACCATATCTCAGGTCATGTCGGGATTCTTCACCAAGGAAGGCAAAGACAGCAGCGGTAGCGGCAATCCCTCGAAGCATCGACACAGTGATTCTTCCAGTAGTATCAAGGGTTGGGCTGGACTGATGAACAATTCATCACGTGGCAGCAAGGCACGAAGGGCGAGCTTGGGTGGACTGAGCTCTGCGGCTTCAAGTGCCACGGCCGGATCACCCGGATCCCACAAGTCCATTTCATGCGACGACGAAAAGGAAGTCTACAGCGGCTTTCAAGTCTTGCAGCTTCCCAAGCTTTAGAATGTTTCTATCTTTTTTCGTTGCATGATTTCATCCAAGTGGTGAACCAGCTGATTGGCTCCTTTCTTGCGTTGCTCTGACGTGAGAAGCTCTATATTTTCAAGAAAGGAGATTGAACCGATTCGGCAGTGAACTCCCCCGTTCTTGAAGGACTGGGAGGTTCTTTCCCGAGACGGACACCAAGTCGGTTGCGTTTTCTGGCAGGCAGCACATGTCTCGCAAGACCACGGCACCCCAAATTCATTATTTCGATGTATACTCTCTCTTATTATCACTTTGTACTAATGCACCGGTATCTAAAACTCGATGTCTTCCTGAATGGAAGCTTCGATTGGGTGTTGTCCGACAGCAGTCGCATTCCAGTCATTCCAGATAAATCCAAAACTCTACTATATTATAATTACAACGTATTGCACTACTTTAGAAACTGATGAAATAGCTAGCTCGCAGCCACATTGAAAAAGATTGTTTGGGGTTTGTGAGGTTTACGGAAAGAGAGCTTACCCGTCCTCCTTCCTGGATTTCATGGATGCCTGATGATTTTGCGACCAGCAAATCACCTTGCGAATGAATTGCCAATGCCTGATCAGGAATGCGTTTCACAAAGCGATGGATTCTCGGACAAGTGAAAGAAGAGGGCATCCAAACTTTCAATCACCTGTAACAAGACTTGCGTTGCCCGTTCTTTGTTGGACGGATCTTCAATCAGATACTTTCGACCCGCCTTATTCAGCATGCAAATTGGTCTAACCATGGATTCTTCCCTGTCAAAAGCACCACCCAGCCGATGAATCCCATAGTTGTTTTTGAGCGCTTTGTCTAGTTGCTTCCTTCCTTCCCCCTCGCTCACCAAAAATTCAAACTGCCTTCGAAAGCGCACCTCCAAGAGCTTGACGGTTGTGTTGCGTCCCAGTGCCTCTATCAATCTCGCCTTGGGGTAGTCGAGTGGGTTGACGACCGCACTCTGTTGTTGCGTATGATTGCCAATGTCCATTTGGTCGTCATCATCATCGTCATCATCATCATCATCATCCGATTCCTCGGTCATGGCGTTTATATACAACTCCTCAATGCTGGTGTTGTGTGCCACATGCGCGGCAATATCAATAGCTCCTTCTCGGTCCAATCCACCCGATACCATCAACTGTTTCAGGGAAGCATTCGTTCCCAAGGATGGCAGCAGCCTTGGCCACGCCGGAGGAAGACTCCCCGAGGTGACATTGAGTCGTTCCAGAGGACACGTGGGTAACTGCAGAAATGCCGCCAATGCGTCAATGAGGCGTTCGGACCAATTCGCGGCATCCACCGACAAAATTTTCAAATGGCGGTTGGTTTGGAGACGAACCAGGATGGGAAGCAGCCATTCCGTATCAAATTCCTCTTCGCCAATATTATTGTTGTTATTGTCTCCTCCATTGTCCATGTCAATAAAGCTTTGTCCCATGAACTTGACCTCTTCTAAAGATTGGTTGACGGCCACCAATTCTCCCAAGGCAGTACAGGCAGCCTGATTGAGATTGGCCAGAGTGAAGCGAATGGCTTTGATGGAACGGTGTTGATGGAGTGCTGTCAAGATGTCCAGTACGCCCGCCCCCTGAACGGGAGAGTGTTGAAGATCGAGAACCTGTAGTTGTGATTGTTGTGTATTGTTGTTGGACAAATGTTGTGCCATCATCCGACATTGGCGTTGCGTCAAGAAGCACTTGTGAATGATCAAAGTCGTAAAGGATGGCATTGCCAATATGCCAAAAAAAGAGTCTGGCAACATGCGATTGCGAATGACCAAAAACCCAAACTCCACAGCCGACAGGGACTTAATCGTGACGAGTTGTGTGGCAATTCTGTCGAGCGCTCGTGTATCGACACGTTGTTCGAAATAGATTCGTTTCAGGTTGGGGTGATTGGTCAATGCATTGGCAAAGTGAACCAAATGTTCGTCATTTCCCAACAACGAACAACACAAGGACAAATCTTCCACTTGCGGAGCGTGCTGCAGAATGAGACCAAGTGCTCGGTAGTCAGGGACGTTTTCTGGATCTTCCAATAACTCTCTGCTGTTGATTCTGAGTTTGCAGAGTCCCTGCAACTGCCCCAATCCACGTGCCACTGTGGTCCAGCGATGGTAATATTGGTGTGGATCAACTGGATGTTGTCCCTCCGCATCCAGAACTTCATGGTATCCAATATCCAACACAACTTGTTCAATGCAGGAATTGTTTTCTGTACACCACAGGAATTTATCAGGGTCTTTTTGTAGGATATACTGAATCATCGAAAAGTAATGCTGGTTGAATCCATTTGTTCGTCCTCGCTCCAGCTCTAATGTCGACGAACACTTGTTGCTGTGGACTTCATTAAACAACTCATACATGGTACAAACCCGTTCATATTCCAGATAATTGATTCTGGTGCCGCCATCACTGTCGTTGTCGCTCATCGTTTCAATCTCTTAGTCTCTTCGATTGTTGTTCTTTCTTGATGTGGTCTTGTGATTGTGGCTTCGCGGTTTTGCGTGCCCACATCCGCCCCAAATGGCAATAATAATGCAATAAATGAGGATCACTGCCTCAGCTAAACAAAAGAACCATAAAATAGCAGAGCTGTATTTGCGTTGCCGTAGGAAACGATTTTCTTCGGGGCTGCGTCAGAACCCATTCCATTGCGTCATTGCGTCAGCACCAAAGAAACAACGCAGAGCATCGAGCACTGATGCCGCGTCTGACGATGGAAGATCATCGATCCATCCGTCCCAAGACGTTGGTCGACGATAAGACAACACACATCGGTGTAATGAATCATTAGGATACGATAGACCAGCAAGAGATTGGCTGGTGCTGTTAAAGCATTTTATTTCCAGCTACCAGCTACGGCACAGTAATACCCAACCACCTCATTGGACGGTCTTCGCAAGAACACGCTTCTTCGCATAATTTGATTTTTCAAGCCGAATTCTTTTGGAAAACCATGTGCAAACCCAGCGACGATTTCGAAGGACCTCGCAATGTGGTGATTGCCGGTGCAGGACCTGCCGGTCTTCTGTTGACAGCTCTGTTGATGCAACGCAACAGTGAATTGTCTACGCCTCTCTACCGTGTCACTCTTGTGGACAACCGACGCAATTTTGGATTGGTGAGCCTAGAAGAACTGACAAAATCCTACCGCAGTTGGATGCTGGGATTGGCGGGGCATGGATGCAAGGCATTGCAGACCTGTGAGGGTTTGTACCAGGAATACTGCAAGGAAGTTGGAATTGAACTTCGGTCGCTCAGTCTCCATTTGGGTGCCAAGGAAATCAAGCCAACCATATCGCCCGAAGATTTGGTGGACAATGAAAATTTCATCGTCGATCGCAACTTTATCGTGGCGGCCATTGCCAGGTTTGTGGAGGAAAAGTACCACGACAATGACATGTGTACCACTCTCTACGACCACAAACTGCTCTATGTGGACTACGAAAAGCGCCGGGTTCTGGTTCGAAACGAAAAGGACGACCAAGAATTCTACATGCCCTATGACCTCCTTGTGGGTTGTGATGGAGTGCGAAGTGTGGTCCGAGAGGCTCTAGTCAAGCGACACAGCACCTTTGAAATGGATGTGGGCGATATCTTCCAAACATTCAAGGTAAAGCAACCGGCATCCTCCTTCTTATTTTGTGTTCCGAAATTGCTTTGACCTCATCATTGTCTTCATTCAATCCTCTGTAATGCTTTCAGGCCGTTCATGTGGAACGCCCTCCTTCTGTGGACCTTGCTAGTCTGCACCTGTTGCCCGCTGTCTTTCCAGAAATGACTGGAATTGCGCTACCTGAAACGGGAAACAAGTTGAACATTGGCATTGGTGTTGCTCGGCATTTGTTTGACCAGTTGCCAGCGGAACTCAAATCGGACGATCCCAAGGTGGTAGCGGAATATGCCCGCCAGAACTTCAAGGCATTTGAACTCGTTGACTATGACGACTTTGGTGAGCAGTGGGCCAATCAACGATGGAATCGCACCGGACAAGTCCACTGCAACTTTTACCATTCGTCCGAAATATCCGTTGCCATTATGGGTGATGCGGCGCATGCCACCTCGCCATCTATTGGAATGGGTATGAACACGGCTTTGCGTGATGCACAGGTCTTTTACCAACTCTTGCAAGAGCACAAGGACAACTTGACTGAAGTGTTGCCGGAGTTTTCCAACAAGCGTGTCAAGGAAGGCAACTCCCTCACGGACTTGGCCATGCATTTGTACTGCATGGATACACGACAACAACTCTTTGAAACCATTCACATGATTGTTCGTGGCGCTCTACATAAAATGTTGCCCTCGTTGATTCTTGACCATCCACAAAATATGATCGGAAGGGTCAAGTTCCAACTCAGCGACGTCTACAATCGGGCCAAGGTGGTGGGAGTGCTGGATAAGCACCGTCGTATCAACGCCGAAACTCGACAAGCCTACTTTGAAAAAACGAATGGAATGACTTCTCCCGAAACACAGGCCATGACGAAGGGAGGCTGGATGTCATCCAAGACTTTGCTCTCTGGTGCTGTCGTCGTCGCCGGTGTCGCCGTTGGTTATTTCCAATGGATGGCGCACTGCATGTAAACTTTTGATTGGAGTGTATTAGGTTTCGGATCAGACAGCATGTGGCCAGTTGGCGCCCTACGGGTATCTGGTGTCAGTGTACAGAGATCTGTGTCCTTGACTGCCTGAAGGGTTTTGTCTTCCCTGATTGACAAATTCTGTTTTAGATTAGATAAAGAGTCATTGCTCGATAAGGTGGTGTAAATAATGTGTTTGAAAAATGCTGCACCTCATCTGGATCACGCTAGATACTCGTTGATTCATTGCATCACCATTGGCCAGCCAGCTGTCGAAAGAATGATACCAAACCTGATGCTGCAGTAACGCGTGTGTCCTTGGCGGAACAAGAGTTGAATTTGAGGTCTCCAAACCCAGCTCCGGTAGCACCATCTATCTGCAACAAGCGAAGTGGTTTGAAACTAGCTTGAGTCGTTTTTGGTAGTGCACTTGGTGCTCGCAATGCAAACTCCAAGAGCTTGTTGGGCATGGAATAGCTTCTCTGAGCTCAAGCTGCTTAGAGAGTGGATTATCATTACTAGCACCATCCCGAATTCTATCGAAGTTCTTCTTCGCTGAACTCAATGCCATTCCACATTCAGCAGAATTGTACTTGCTGTTGAGGTCGGTGAGAATCGTATGGATTTGACGACATTCAGCAATGTTGGTTGTTACTTCCCAAAGAATTTGAATGCGCCGCTGAATCAAGTCCAAGTCATCAACTATCTTTGACAAAGTCTCAATGTCATCACTGGTGGAAGTGGTGTCAGGAAGTTCGTTCATCGAAATGCGGGTGACAGTGTGGTTAGAGTGGACCATGGGTTTGGGAATGGACTCCAGAAGTCGAGTGGAATGCCTCAGAGATGAGACGAAGATGAACAAAGGAAGCCACAGTTGCCGTCTTGTCGAAAGGCGATGGTTCCCCGATTCACGACCAGAGGGAGCTGCCAACCGTCTGCGGGAGTTGCTTTTCCAATGACACGAGGTCTTTGTCCTTCGATCTTCTTGATTCCCGCCGAATTCAATGAAATCTTTTATGAATGTGTAAAATGCTGTTTTGTTTTCAAATTGTTGCGTTAAGAAAATATATATTTGCGTCGATTTGTATTTTGACAAGTTCACATCCAAATATTTTGCTTTTTGAAAAGCTCGTCCACTTCTCTCGCAACTCATTCATAGGCAGGCACTTTTCTCTCGCTCTCCCTTCACTTTTCCCTCAGAGGAGCAAAAAGGCAAGAAGCAGAATCAAACACAGCAAGCTACAACAAAGGAACGACCATGGCATCCCTACCTTTCTCCAAGGACGATTCCAAGCGCAATCAAAACGGCTACAACACCCGTTGCATCCGCGGTGACGCAGCCAGTCCTTTGGAAGACTCGGACGACGGCAACAGCAACAACGACAAGCAGCTTGATTATTATAATGTGAGTAACCATAGCAGCAGCACCAGCAACAGCCATCGCTCGCGTCAAGATGACACCGATGACAAGAAACTCCAGCAGCCTCCAGCGCGTCTCAATCGTGAGGAGTCTCGCTACCAGCGAGCCATCATGAAATCGTCTCGCGCCATTACGGCCGATGCCTTGGGTGGCAGCAGTAACCATCACTTGGACAGTTTGGACCGCGACATTCAAGCCAAGTTGGAGATTCGTCATGGCCGTAGCATGCCATCCTCTCTCATGAGCGACGCTAGTGGCAAGAAGAAACCAGCGGCAAACGACGACCACCACAAGAACAAGTTAACAACTGCCATTTTGTTGGAAAACAAGAACAGCAAAAACAAGAACAATAGCAGCAGCACTGCCAAAAATGTTCGCTTTCGCGAGGGACCAGCCATGATTCCAGGCGTCTACGAGGAACGCAACAATGAGTTGTCGCCGCACAAGCAAGAAGCAGTGGGTGGTGGTCGTCGCGAGAAGGTTTGCCATTTGGAGGCGAATGTCCCATCGAAACGGAACATTGCCGCTCGCCCACGCTTTATTAGCCTCGATGACGACAATGACGACTTTGTTGACGGCGACAGTCCAAAGGGCAAAAAGACAGCCGGCGGCGGTCAAGACAACAAGAAGATGGACCATCATGACAACTCTGGAACTGGAGCCCGTGTTCGCTTTTTTGGAGACGACGGAACACTTTCGGAACACGGCGGCGGTGATCCCAATCAGATGGAGTTTGGCTCCATGGGTATTGCCATGGACAATATTGGAAGATTCTTCAACTACGATGATGACGACGATGACGAGTTGGCCGTGGCGAGAGTCGTCATTGAGGAGGAAACAGACGACGAATTTATCCCCGTCGGAGTCGAGTTCGACCCGGACGCCAAGAATCCGCAAAGCACCAAGCGTCGCCGATGCCGCTACCTGGGAGGCTCCGTGTTCCTTGTTCTGGTACTGGGAGTGGGTGCTAGCGTCATTTTCCCTACCCATGTCGCTGTCACAAGCCAAGTCGACCTGGATGATGTTCCGACCTTGGCGCCGACTTCCTACCGGTCGTCGTTAGGCATTCAAGAACAGATTGAAAAGATGGTGGGCAAATCCAAACTACGCGAACCGGGATCACCTCACAACAAGGCGCTCGAGTGGATCTTGCACGAGGACAGTCACCAGCTCACTACGAAATCCGAAAACCTCACGCAGCGCTACATCCTGGCCCTGCTCTACTTTTTGACAAGCCAGGAAGGCCCGTGGCGTTCCTGCAATCCTCCCACTGGTAACGAAACTGCCGAATGCGTCAACAACTTTATTCAGACGGCAGATCCTAGTCTTACATTTGGACAGGAGGTGGCTGTTCGTTGGGTCAGTGATCGTCCGGAGTGCGAATGGGTTGGAGTGGTGTGTGATGAATTGAACCGTACCATGAGCATTCAACTTAGTAAGTGCATGCGAAGTCGCTCAATGCAAGGCGTGCAGTGCAATGAAGTGTCCGCAGCTGACAAATAAATCGTCGTTCCATCCTTGTTTCATCATCTGATCGTACCGGTAGGCGGGCAACAGCTTTCTGGTCGCTTCCCTGGAGAGGAGCTTGGCCATCTAACAAACCTGCGATACATCAACTTCGCGTACAACCGGTTGGCGGGACCACTCCCAGATGCCTTTCGTTCCAACATCAACCGGATTCTAAATTTGGATCTACAAGCAAATCTCCTTAGCGGTACCATTCCAGAGGATATCTTCAAGTGGAAGACCTTGGATCGCATCAACCTCGGAAACAATCGGTATGTCCGTGTCCATCTAATTTTGACGTTTATCCGCCGAGCCGTTTTCTCACCTGCACTTTTGTAACACATCTGGCGCATGGTGATAGGCTTTCGGGCCCTTTGAAGATTCCTTTGGATGCTCACCCTGACAGAATTCAGGGAATCTTCCTCTACGAGAATGCTCTGACGGGGCCGGTGCCCACCGAAATTGGAATGTTCGCCAACCTGGGTACGTTTTCGCGTTCTCAGCTCTGGTGAAGGGCCCATACGAGACCTAACTGATGTCTTTGGTTCATGTCATGTGACCGTTCTACGTACGGTGACCAACAGGATTCTTGCGATTGCACAAAACTCAACTCTCTGGAAGCCTCCCATCCGAGATAGGAAAGCTAACCGATCTCCATGAGATGTGGCTGCACAGGACTGGAGTCAGTGGGCGAATTCCTTCAGAGATTGGGAATATGGAGAGTCTTCAGCGCCTGAATCTTCAATTCACGGCCGTTAGTGGGGAGTTGCCCGACGAGATCTTCGACCTGCCCACAATCACGCGTCTCAACATCTTTGATGCCAATCTCAGCGGAACTATCAGTACCAAGATCGGTCAGCTTGAAGCTCTTGAGATCCTTCGACTGCGGTAAGTTTGGGCGCAGTCTTGTTTTTGTTTGAGCAACGAACGATACAGATTGCTCACGATGACGCCATGCATGATCCATGCAGAGGCAACCACCTTGAGGGCACCATTCCAACCGAGATGAACCGTTTGACACGGGTTCGACAGGTCTGGCTGCATCACAATAATTTCACAGGGGACATGCCTGAGGGACTCTGTCAGCTACGTGACGATTCCATTTTGTTGGAGCTTGTGGCTGATTGTGCATTGCCAGCCACGAACACTCCTCGTGCTGCAGTGTCCGGTGTGCAATGCCC